TCCTTCCTTCCGTCCTTCCTTCCTTCCTTCCATCTGTCTGTCCTTCCTTCCTTCCTTCCTTCCTTCAATCCGTCCGTCCTTCCTTCCTTCCGTCCTTCCTTCCTTCCTTCTGTCCTTCCTTCCTTCCTTCTCCTGGTGATTGCTTCTCCTTCCTGACTTATTCTTTGGCCATCTTTAAGCAACTTTTTGCTCATGTGGTTTTCTGTGTTTGTCCTGCTAACCTCTGTTCTCTTCCTGCTTCGTTAGTGTCGTTATTACCCCGTTTCTCTCTCTGGTGTTTAGCTTGTGTGCATTTACTCACTGGTCAGTGGATTGCTCTCTCACCTCTGTTCCTTTCCTGTTTTTCTCCTGCTGACACTGTGTGTTAGGTGACAGAAAAATAATATAGGTGTGTACAACACATTTTGTTAACCGTAAGTTCATTCTTTTTCACCACCTGCTCACCTGTTGAGATGTCCAACTGCACCAGGCCAATACCCCGCTGTGGCCCACAGGGTGGCTTTGGAAAATGTGAAGGAGAGCATCAGTTTTGAATATTTACCTATATTTTCATAAGTCTGCATTATTGTAGGGTGTTTGCATTACAATATAAAGTGTCTTGGTGCTATAGAAATGGAACTGATGACCTCACACGTGACCATTCATACTACAGCAGAGTAAATAAGTTCCAGATAAACAACGATAACAAAAAGTTGCTGTTTTTTCACTGTTTAGTACAGAAATGTTTGATGTGTAATTAAACAAACATAATCTGTCAATTATCAAATGCTTTCTGTTTTATAATTACAGGACAGTCTGGGCAGTGAGCTACCAGAACATCATTTTACGGATTTATTTCAGTTTAGCCCAAAAGAGTCGTGCTGACAGACTTATTTTACTTACTACAGGAGCAGGGTTAGGGTTAGGTCTTTATTATGTAGGAAAACTGACTTGTGTTGTTGAACTTGCGCTTCTTTTTCTCATATTAAAATATCTCAGGGATTAAATGTAAAGTTCTTTACACTGACAAAAAGAGGCGTTTCACGGTCCGACCCACGCAAGATCAAAGTGGACCATATGTGACCGCAGACGTAAAGAAGAGTGGGGTATTTGTTGGAGACAGAAAAAACAAACCACAAAGTGTGGAGGGTTAATTCTGAGGTAGCCAGAGAAAGAAAACCGAATGAGTGCTGCTGTTGCTCTGTGGTCACTGGATATGTAAATTAGGCAGTGATTATATGTCTGCTGTGTTTACAGCTCGTTGTCCTGCCCTGGGTCACAAAAATAAAATCACTAATATGAAAATAAATATTTAAACCTATTTTTAAACTCATGGCTTCCCCTCAAAAATCCCCTAATATGCTTTTTCTGAAATAGTGAAAACATCTATTATATTGTTTTCCTTGCACTGCTTCCCGAAATCTGTTTATTTATGCACAATTCAAAAACTGGCTGATTGAGGTAACTCACTTTATGGTCTTCAAGGTTACATTTTATGTCTGAAAGCACCAGAAGAAACCAATCAGAAGGAGGAAGTGACCCCAAAGGCAGTACAAGCCTGTGGCAAAAAGACTTTCAGAGATACGATACAAAAACTAGTGAAGCCGAGGTTGTGAATGGAATAGCCTGGTGGTTTTGAATGGAATGTCAAATTGGCGTCTCAGTCATTAAAGCTGGCACAGAGGGAGACATGAGTCATGCAGTCTCGAGCACAATCAAAGCAGCTTCCTGCTCCTCCATCTCCGCCGGTGGACCCGACGCAGGCAGCTCTGATACCCGCGATCAATGCAGCGCACAGGGAAAACTCAGCCGCAGGATTAAGAATACAATGGGAGAGACAACTGCTGTCGCTTGTCCGCCCATATTTTGTGTAAACATTCATCATTTGCATTGTTACCGCAGACTCAGTGGTTGCATAAGAGATAAAATGATATGATTCTGTGGCTGCAGGGTACAGATCATGTTAGGAGGAAGAGTGCGCGGTGGAGATGATTATTCTGCAAAATATGGATTATTTTAATGTTGTTTATGTTCCCCAGTGTGAGTTCTGATGCTTTTGGAGTTCAAGTATGCAGATATTAAAAAATAAAATCATCTGATCATTTTCCATAACACTTTGTAATACAGTATAAACCTGAAATATACTCGGAAACTTGTACCTATTTTTTCCCCACTAGTGTCATAAATGCTGCAGAAATAACAAAATAAATCACTATTTCCCTTTGAGCAGTTGGTAATAAAAATCTCTCACATACTTCAAAATGCAAAAAATGGACTTCTAATCAACGTACAGGCTGATTAGAAGTCGGTTTGTTACTTTACAAGCCGTTTTCAACCAGCACTGCCTGTTTTCGTGGTAATTCACTGCATAAAAGACTGAGTCACTAAGTTCTAATGCTGGAGAGCCTGGAAATGGCACTCTGGGAAAACAATAAGAGAAAAGTAACGCATTGTGCCATACTTCTTCTATAGGTGGAATACTAAATACAGCCCTGTTCTCTGACTGCTGGGTGACTCAAGCACATCTTTTGCTCTTCTGTGAAGTTGAACATCCTGAGGCTGTAAATCCAACAGTGTTTGCCGACTGCAGTTATATTCTCATGGCTGAAATTTAATCAGGTGATTGACCTAATGCCGCTTGAACTTGATCTTGAGCTTCTTAGAAAAGACCAATTAGTTTTCCATTCTTCTATGGAGTAAGGAGTAATCCTTTGCACTCTAAGTAACGACCCCACGCAGGCTGCTGTTGTTGTTGACTTTTGGAGGCATATTTTGCCCAGCAACTTTTGCGGCATGACTCACCCAAGGCAGCTGTTACGCATGACAAATAGAAAAAAAAATCAAAGGATAAGGTGGAGCGAGCAGATGCAACTAGTCAGATAAAAAGGTGTTTGGAGCGGTGGAGCGACTATTTGAGACCGGCAAAAGGGGCGACATGCTACCGTGCACTGGGACCATGCAGAGCTCCAGGCTGCTCAGCGGGGCGCTCCTGTGCGCAATGCTGCTGCTCTCCAGCGCCGCTGGAGCCGAAGTGTTGGACTCCGAGTCCGAGGAGGAGCTGAGCCCCAGAGCCCTGCGCGACTTCTACCCCAAAGGTCCGAACCTGACCAGCGAGAAGCAGCTGGTAAGATCTGCACCCGGAGTACGCATGCAGACACACGGCGCAAGTTTAACAGCGGAGAGCTTTCTTCTTTTATCAAGACCGTTACTGTTTTTCCTCTCTTTCTCCCTTTTTTTTTTTTTTTTTAAAAAAAAACAACTTTTAGTTATGCTGTGAAAAATAAAATTAAGACCATTTTATTTATAGTCTATGAAGCCCGCTGACAACAAGAGTCAAGAGCAACAATGTGACGCTAAGCTGAGCTCTGTGAACAGCTGAGAGTGAAAAGAAAGTCGCATTTTACGCAAGAATGCAGGATTCTTCAGTGTAGTTAATACAACACAAACAACAAAAACAAGAAGAAACACCTTTCCTCGGCGATTTGTGTCGTTTTACATAAATATGGCTTTGTTTGTATAGTTACTTTATTAATAATTCCAACTTTTAAGAAAATCACCAACAGATTAGATTTTTATTTTATTCGTGGCTTTTAATTAATTTGCATGTTCCATAAATTGATTTTATATTTGTATCCCACTCCAAAAATCACATTATTTTTATTAATGGTTTTGTGTTTGTGTTGGTTTCCGACAGCTCGGAGCTCTCCAAGAAGTTTTGGAAAAGCTGCAGGCTAAACGGCTGCCTTTATGGGAAAAGAAATTTGGCCAAGTCCCAACGGTAATTATTATTATTATTATTATTAGTAGTAGTAGTAGTAGTATGAAATGGCATGCCCTTGGTGCATGCAGTGGCGGGTGGAAATGAAGCGAACCTCTGGTTGTGTCCCTCTCTCTGCCTCTCAGTGTGACATCGGGGAGCAGTGCGCCGTGCGGAAAGGCGCTCGAATCGGCAAGATGTGCGACTGTCCCCGGGGAGCTTTCTGCAACTTCTTCCTGCTGAAGTGCTTATGAGCCTCTCCGGATCTGAATGTAGCATTGAGACAGAGGGAAAACAAACTCGCACTCTATTTCTCTGTAATTACTATCATATTTTTTATGATGCCGTTGAGGAGCAGGTGGCTGTCCAACCCTTACAAAAAAGATTATTCTGTGATATGTATATATTTTGAAAGTATATATTATCAAAGAAAAATACTATAAAGAGTCTGTGTAAGGATGGTGGCGATGGATTGAAGATGAGCCACAAAGTACCATAAAGTTCCTGTAAATGCTCCCAACCACTTTATGTCAGTAGGAAAAGCACAGGATGCGTGTTGTGATGTAATAGGAGTTAAGGCATAACCCACCCTGCACAATTAACCCACCCGAGGACCACATACACGCTGTAAAGTCTCAGCAGCAATATTATGGGAACATTGTAGTGATTCTTCACCTGGGCTAGTCCGGTCTGTCTCTCGACCCTGGTCTGTTTTGTTTCAGATGAATGTTTTGTGTATGACTCATAATTATAATAAACTGTGGACCATCTTGTTTTGTAAAGCAGCGGACTGAGTGCATGTTCTTTTAAAAATGCCTCCGGGCACGTAAACAGAGGCCAGCTCCCTTGAAATCAGTTATGCAACGTTTTCCACTTTTTATTTTTATTTTTAGTATTCAGATAATCTCACGGATTTGAGGGAGTCAATATTTAAACAGTGACGTTCGCCAGTGACGTCACACCTCCTGGGGCCGGCCAGGCTGCTCCGGTGACAGAGGGGCTTAAAATTAAACCTAATATTACTGCAGGGAAAGCGCAGAGTGACAGCGACACTGTCACTGCGCCCAAACACTGAGCCGCTTAATCACTTTCACAGGGGGCAGCCTCAGGCTGATAATGTCAGATATAAGCTCAACACAAACGTCACGTAAAACGATTTCGTTCTTGGCTTGCACAGGTAACCTCACGAATCTGGTCGTTTCAACTTAAACCCGTCTTCGTTCAGAAACACTTGCACACTGATGTTTGCGCAGAGTTTTGGAAAAGCGCTTTGATTTTATGCTGATGGAGGGAAATGTTTAGGGCTGAATTAAAGGAGTGAGCAGCACCGTGCAAAGGTTTCAGGGAGTAAAAGCGAAGGAAGGATGCTCACAAAAGCGATGTCATGAAGGATTTTTATGAATCAGCGAAGTAACATAAACAAGCCTTCGCTTTTAAGACATCCTCTCTAGTTTCAGTGCACTTTTCTCTCACGCAAGTATTCAAGCTAGCGTGATTGAAGCACCTGGGAGAACTTGCTACAGTTAATCTGACTGCAATGTTGAGACAGGAGCTCAGTGGGGGTCAAACCATCTGCCGAGGATGTCTTGTTCTTCTTTTGGCTGAAAACAGTCGTGTGGCCCTGGATCGATGTTTTCATCTTGCTGCACAATGAATGAGCCTGAGAGAATCTACCAGCTGAGAATCCAGCACGCTCGCAGCTTTTGCACACAGTCAGGATCCTGTTTGGAGCGAGCCATTATATACAAAACACGACAAATCATCAGGAAACTTGCAGGTGCAATTTTA